AAATTTTCCCTCTAGCAATTGCAACTATGTTTGTTCTCATATTATAATCAATTAAATTATGGTTATATAAAGGAATTAGGTCCATATTCAACACTTTTATTGGATAATTACTTTTATCATTATTAGCGAGGGTTATTTTTAGTGGAGCATAATTATACCTTTGCATGTATAACCAATATTCCTCTGATACTAGTAATTATATTATTTATTCATATAGTGATAAAAGTAATTAGGATAATCCAAAGGTGTGTTGCTTAATATGAAGTACATATTAAGCAACATGTCCGAAGCAATAGGACTTTATAACAATGTTCGAGTAAGGGTTAATTTATCTAATGTTATCACCGAGTTATGATGGAGGGAAATATCTTCAGCCATTCTAAGATTGTTGTGAGCTTATAGAAACTATTAATCATGGTGATATAATTCAATCATCGGTTAGACTAGCGAGGATAAATTGATAATATATTATTAGTATCAGAGGAATATTGGTTATACATGCAAAAGTATAAAATTATGAATCCTTTTAGAGTATTACTTAGTGAATATATAAATATGTAGTGAGGATATTTTAGTTTTTTATCCTAAATATTATTGAAGGATATCTTCAAACTTACATAGGATCAATTATCGTGTCCCTCCCTATATAGTGATTAAAGAACCTATTTATTTTATGGGGACCATAATAGCCCTATTGATATCATATAATAAGAGTTAAGTTTATCTTGATATTCTCACTATTGGTTTAACCTAATATGGAGGATATATTATCCTCCATAATCTAATTAAGCAAAATATCAAATTCAGGCCCTTATATTAAGGTTTAATCTAATATAAATCATCTAGGTAAGATTTATAGGATAACACTATTATGGTCACCAATACTATATTCGTATTAGGTTATAAACAATAGCTCCCTCAATTATATATGGTTTAACCTAATATAGGGGAGTGTTCCAATTTACCTTCCATTCTCTTACTCATTACTAGGCTTATATCAAGTTATAATAGTAGTTATAGTTACCATATGATTGAACCTTATGAGTCAACTCTCGATTATGCCATATCTCCTAATGATAGGTTGGTACCGTGTACACGAGTCTAGGCCATCAATATTTATTAGGTCTCGTTACAATTTAACCCTCTCGTATATATTCACAACTACAATATGCCCTACTCTTGCAAATTATCGCTCACCAAGGGTATAATTATCCTCTAGCAATATTAAAAGTACACTCGATATGTACATATATTAAAATACTTAATATTGCGGATATAATACTTTAGGATTCAATATACTAGGATGTTCCCATAATACTATTATCTCCCCGAGAGGAGATATACTTTCCCCCACAATAATATGGCCACAACTCCGAGTATATTCAATATTAAAAGTGTTATAATTTGAATGGGTATTATAGGGACAACCTATTAATTAAGACTAATCAGCTCACTATTTAACAAAATTATAGTATTACAAATATTCGAGTGGATTACTAGCCATGACCTTATAGAAGGCTATATCCTTCCTAATTTTTAACCTTTGTTTAGTATTTGTTAATTAAAACCATTCATATTGTAAAAATGGGTAGAGTATTACTACTAAATATCTAAACTCTTTTCAATAAACCTTCATTTCCCTTTGTGGCCCGAGAGCCCATATAAAAATATCATCGTAATATTAACATACCATAATGGGACAATATCCCATTTAGTTATGGGAAATTAAACTAGAGTAAATTCTAGTATATCGAAGAACTAGGTGGTGGGCATAAGTGGTTATTGGGCGGTGTTTAAATTGGGAGGGTAAGTGAGGGGAGGTCATGAGAAAGGGTAATATCTCCTTAGTCACTTATAATTAAAAGTTAATATAATTAGAATTATAAAGTATTTATAATAGGTTGTCCTTAAGAGAACTTTATAAGGCCTTGGTCTACTCACTAGAGGGTCCCTATATGGTTAGGTTAAACCATATCTTCCCAGGTGGAATTATCCTTTTCAAGTTAGACCAATCCTATAGCTAATAAACTAGGTAGCCCTATTGATGGATATAACACATTATCCCATATAAAGGCCCATGGTACAAAATATAGGCATACTTGATGGAACTACATGAATAAAGGATACCTAATCACTTGTTCCTAATAGAGAACTGATTGGCATAATGTGTTAAATCAAGTAAACACGAAGGAAAATCTCCCATCTAATGTCCAAGTGAGTATTAATAAAAGGAGTTTCAGTGTGAATTGGCTCGAAAGATACCTATTAGTGTTTATCTCTTATTTCTCCCTATATTAATTTGAAATCAATATGGAAAAATTATTTAATATATAATTTTACTCCCTAATTACGGGAATATTACAAAATATTATTGTAAAATTGGTAATAATCTAAGATTGTGACAAATTGCAACACTTGCTAAATCTATCCATATTATAGGTCTGTATAATCCTTTACTGATTCCATGCATATAAAGAGGATAGTTCATGAGTTTGGGTAACCTATAATATATTAATAGACTAATAGTACATGTCTATCAAAATCTTATAGTATTCGGCTATCCATTTGGGTAATCAGCTCTCATATATTATCTTCACCTGTTATGGTGATACTCCCCCAAACATGAAGAATTATCCCATGAAAATTATTCTCTTATATAATACTCCCTCAAAAAGGGAACAATTATGTTATTTTTTCTTCCTCATACTGAACATAAATTAATATGTTATCACAACATTGAGCCTTTTCCCAATTCAATTATCAAACACTATGGTAATCCTTTAGTAATTCTCCTTACCACTTGATTATAGAGATAAACAAGTCACGATAACGCACCAATAGAGTATTTATACTAAGGGGAATTAATATATTAAAAGGTGAGACGAGAGATATATTAATAACTCAAGGGTGACAACGGATCCTTATCATAACTAGATCAATGGTATAATATTATAAGGATTATTATTGTTAGAAGGGAAAACTTTCTCATGGTACATTATAGATTTAAGGTCCATTAATATTGCTCCCTAGAATATCTACTTGGATAATGTGAACTATAAAGAAGTATTATGCCCAATGAGTAATCCAATACTAAAGATATTCCGTCGGCTATATTGGTAAGAGTTCATTTTAGTCCTATATCCATTAATGTGAGAATTGAATATGGTTTATATTTGGAAAATCATCATAAATTACCTATTCTCAACCCCTTGTGAAATAGGGACCTCCTATTAAATTAGGAAGACAGAATGGAGGGGCTATTAACCTTGCTTAGAATCGATATAGTATTTTCCCTAAGATAAATCCACTTTGGGGCCATTACCATAAGTTTATGTCCCTCTTTTGCAAGTAAGATGTCATAGGTGAATTAGGGTAGTTTAATTGTATATTTGTTGATTCTAAGCAATTTAACTCCCACAGTTCATTGGATATGCACCGACCCTAACTCACTCTGTTAACAGTTGTTGTCCCTTTAATAAAAATAATAGTTCTTATTTTAGATGATTTATCTGGCTATAAATTGATTATTATAAAAGGTTATAGTACAAAGTGTTTATTTCTTAAAGCCCCGATTTATAATCATGTTACTTTGGATAGCTCACCAAGTTTTCTATTGCAATATTATAACATAATTGGTCCGCATCATCCTAAAAGACAATAAAAGCTAATTTTGAGGGCCTAAATGATGTTGTTTAGTTACAATCACCCCTAAGACATGGTCACGTTGATGAGTTTTGATCATAAGCCAACATTATATAGAATTAGATAACCAAGGAGATGAATATTCACCTATCAACTTATTTCTTTCCACTTGGTTATCTCCCTTGTTCCTCAAAGCCTAATTAGAATATATGAATATTAGAACAAGGATAATTTATCATAACTCGTTAATGGGTCAATAAGTTTGATACTCCTATTTAATATTGGTTTAAATTGACCAATGTTCCTAACATGCTTCACCAATTTATCATATATTGGTTAATAGTTATGATAAATTTAGTTAATATCTTATTATATTTGAATAATATTATAATAATTTAATATTATCCAAGATCATATATATAATGATTAATATTATAGAGAAATTAATATTGTTTTAATAATAGTTGATAATCTTATAAACCTATCAAAGGTTAATGGAATGGTCGTATATTAGGTTTATCATAAGACTTCCTATGACTCCATACACTTTGCTACATGAAAGCTAAGTCGGGCAAATTCAATTCAAAGGATTACCATCATAAAACTAAGCCAACTTATCCATACCATTCACCCATGCTTCAATCACATTGATACATGGCATACTAATGAAACATATTTGTATAGGCTTTATTCCTATGTTTAGGATGATGGGAACCAATAGTTGACAAACTTTGGTCTCTGTCTCCCTCTCTCTAATTGTAAGAATTAGGGAGATAACTAGGTGGAGAGAAATAAGTTGATAGGACAATATTGGGGATATAGTTTGGTTGACAATTGAGAACAAACATCCAAGTATCTGGATTTATGATTTATTTGACAAATTAAGGGGGAAGTTCGGTGCTCTCTAAGATTAATAATATTACATAATATATTTACTAAGTCTATCAATATCTTCTTTTATTTCATTACGTTTGATTGAGTCAATTGTATCATTTGATCAAAAGTGGGAGATCTCTAATGTTATTAAAAATAATTAACCCTAAACATGTGCCTTAGCCAAGCAAGTCTTATGATACAAGCTTTTCAAGGCTCCAATCTATGTGAAATAAAAGAACCAGTCATGTGTTCACATAGGGTTGCCATGCATGTGTTGTCTATTAATTCTTATGTGTTATATTTATTATCTCGTGTGTATTAGGTAGTCAATCGATGATAATGATAGCTTGATCAATTAACTTGTGAGGGAGAGAAAACCATGAATAGGTATCTCCCTCTCTCCCTACCTCCTCAATAATAAGCTTAGAATGAGTTAGCTATCCAAAGTAATATTGATAAACTATAAATATAACCATGAATAGGTATCTCCCTCACTATGTCTTGATCAATTAACTGCGAGGGAGAGAGTCATTTGGGCCAATGGATTAATTGACAAGGTCTATCTAATGCTTTGGACTCATGTCTTATAACCAAAACATGATCCACTATCATTAAAGGTTATGTGACAAGCATGTTCTCCTCTTGCTTGGATGAACATTGGCCCATATACATCTCTATGTATAAAGTATTTATTAATTAGTAACTTTTTCTAGTTTTCAACTAAAGAAATATTGGTGAATAAGACACTAACTAATCAAGATGTTCTTGACTATTAACCAATTTATACGACATCATCTCCCTTTCTTTCAAATTCACCTTCTCCATGAATTGACAATCATTTTAGATAAATTCTTGGGGAGAATGGATTCATTGAAGGGGGAACTTGTCTAAGCTAAGCCGAATATATTATTATAACAATCAATATAATATGTGAATCCTCTAATGTATATGCGGACCAAATTGGGTCAAGAAGAATAGCAATGATTGACCATGCTAGAGAAAAAGGTATATTTATTTCAATGATGTCACTTCTTCCAAGATATTTTCACTCACTTAGCGGGATTCTTGCTAAATTAGAGGAAGAATTAGCAAGAATCCTACTAAGTGTGGTATCGCCTAAGTTATTTTACCCCTAGCCCATTCCAATGCATGTTACCCAAGGATAGAGAAAAACAAATAGGGTGTTCATGAGATAGAGAGGTCTAAGCAATTGAACTATTAGGGAAAGATAGTGGATAAAGGAGGGAAGAATTTCGATATTAAAATGCCTCAAAATGATATATATGTTCATCAATCGATGAATATGGCCTATGATTAGTTACAATTATCTTTTGATCGATGGCCAAAACAATATCTATTGGTGTACTCCTATGGCCATAGATTTCTTGAGCAAACATTCATCGAACTGCAATATGATAACTCCTTCCGCATACAAGAAATGACATGTCCTATCTTAGTCATCCACGTACCTCTCTTAGGCCAATATTTTCATATATGGAGGGAGGAGGTCAAAGTTTTAGAGATACTCTAAATAATATGTCATCGATTAAAGTAGGCGAACTTATAGATATCGATTTTAACTCATTAATAACACTACCTTGGTCTAGGAATTTATTCATAATCTTTTAGAAGAGTTGAATCAATTCTCTTATTGCACATAGGCCTAAGATTGCTAAATTATCTCCTTATATAAACAATTTTGACTATAGGATAATCCAATATATTATAATATTGACTGATCAATTTATTGTGTCCTATAATACTTGTAGCAATATCAATTTAATATATTTCTAACCAAAATATATTAAATTGAACTCAACTGTTGGAACTAGGGTGGCTATTCATCGTAAATATTTAAAGGACGGTCAAGTTCCAAAATATGCTATAGGATCAAATGATATCCCACAAGAGGAGTAATACCAATCCTTGTGTATTATTGTTGATAATCTTCACAAAAATAGGGAATCTTTCAATTAATATCTCTCTCTCCTTAGATTAAATAACTTGTTGATGTCTCACTTGTCTTTCTCTATTATAGTTAAATGCCCCAAGTCATAGCATTGTCAAGAATGAGCATTGACTTTGTAATAAAAAATGAAGATCTCCCCTTTCTAAATTCCTCCTTTTGGATTGGTTTATAAGTAACAAGGAGAGTAGCTCGATATAATAGATTTTAGATCTTGGAGAGGGAGATGCTTGGTACTAATAGTTATGATAAATTTAGTTAATATCTTATTGTATTTGAATAGTATTATAGTAATTTAAAATTATCTAAGATCATATTGATTCACTTGGTAATCAAGCATGCAATTTATTAATAAATAAATAACAAATATTACGACCATTTAATATACTAATTATAATCAATATGGTTCCATGAAGTTATAGTTGGGTAAGGAGGGAGAGAGATAATCCCCATCATACTATTATTCAATACCCTAACGTATAATTATTACTCATGATCTCATTATATAACCTCTCTCCTCTTCATTGATTTGAGGCTTTATTTACTGAAAGGTTAAAAATAACCCTTTAATGGGGGAGAGATGGTAAGACATAGTTTATTGTAGAGGGGAAAACTTCCCATCTTATAGATTTATGGGATATTTTTAATCAATTATTAGAGATACCCTCGAAAAAAGGATCAATAGCTCAAACGAAGACTTATAAGCATTTGATTATTCACTAGGCTCATGAGAGAGGATTTACTATTTCTTAACATGTAATTTTTGGCTATAATCCTATTAGAAACAGGGAGAGTAGCTCTTTCTTGATAATATTAAACTTAAACTTGCTTTAATATCAAATGACCATCTCTCTTTCAAGTGGTCGATCGGGAATTGGCTTAGCTATTTTGGATATAGTTCACACACATAAGCCCGTTCAAATAGGTTTAATAATCTAATGCCTATCAATGATATCATTAAATGTCCCAAGTCATAGCATTGTCAAGAAATAGCTAAAATTGAAATAGACCTAATATTGAGAGAAATATATTAAGAATAGTCATAGCATTGTCAATTAAATGTGCAATCCCTTATGCCATTTTGGTCTATACATCAAGGTATTATGATGGATATTATAGGGGAAATTAAGCTTTTTCTTTTACAATGAATTAAGTCAGTTTGTATTCAAATCTAGTTTTGTCGTTATTCTAAATTATCCTAATAGTTAATAAACTATTGATGCTAAGTCCTACTTTTCGATAAAGTAGATTTAATGGAACATAAGAATGTCATATTAGAGAATGGAGAAAGTTCCAAAACATGTGATACATTTGGACTTATCTTTCCAAAGAGGGGGAAAGGTCCAAGAGACAATAATTAAAATGATAAAATGGGAAATTGTTTCCTAATTTCTTTAATACTCCTAATGATACAAGTTCCAAAATGGGAATTCTAATAATTAAAACATCGGATTTTTTTACTAAGTTTGACATTGATTAATAATCCTTTTGTTGACTTGTAACTTATTAGAACAAAAGGATTATGCCCACTATCTAAATCGTTTAATTATATCCCTCTACATGGAAGGCTTTGTGAAAGCAAGTATTAGGGAGTATTATTTGTAATAAGCTACAAATAATCGGTGAACCAATTTGAATCCTAAGCCAAGTCATTCACCCATTCAAAAGGTGATATCTTGAAACACCAATAATATCAATATGGTTAGAAATATATTCAATAAGAGTACCTTACCAATTCGAAAACCAATGATATTATACATTTCAATCATGGGTGAATTGTTCTTTAGTTATTATAACAAAGAATCTAGGAAAAAGTAATATATTATAATACTTACCTATCGGTCAATAAGAGTATCCCTCCCATTCTTTTATAGTATCAAATATCACTTTTGATTAGCCCCTAACATTTAATTATTTAACGCTGCTATCGGTTAGGCGCCCTTTCCTTATATCTCTTCTAAAATATTATCAATAAATTCCTAGACCAAGGTAGATCCATTTTATGGGAATATGTAGATCATGATGCAATTTTGGTCATAATAAGCTCAACGTCTTACTATTTATAACTGCTAATCTATTTAATATGACGATTGGTAGGATATTTTTCTAGTAGAGTGTTTCTATTATTGCACATAGGCCTAAGATTGCTGAATTATCTCCTTATATAAGCAATTTAACTATAGGATAACCCAATATATTATAATATTAATTGATTAGTTTATTGCGTCTTATAATACTTATAGCAATATCAATTTAATATATTTCTAACTATCATGCGCCCTCATTGATTTTTAACCCAAATTTCAGTTTTAAATTCATATGGAGAGAATAAATGAATTGGCTTATATAGGGGGACGAGAGGGATAAATTGACCAATTCTATTTCAAACGATTGAATTAGGGAGGGAGGGGTTTACATTCTAGATTAATGTGATGGCCCATGAAAATTATTGTGATAACATTCGTGGTATGACTTGGTTTAAAATATAATATCCGTGGGTTACCCAAATTTTGGGGTCTTAGAACATGGGCAAAGTATTAATATTTTCATGTTAAGATGGTTTATAGTTATAGTATTTGCTTATCAACTTATAGACCAATCTTAGCATGTTACTTTGGATAAACCTCTTTGCATGAATGTGATATATATTAATGAAGTAATTTGTAGCTAATAAATCATGTGATGGTGATCCTCCACATCTATGCCTATTTGGAATTTACAACATCTTATTTAAAATACCAAGAAAGGATTCTCTACGCAATATTATCTATTTTTCCATGCACTTCCCTCTTTAGATCCCCTATCTTTCCTACTCTCTCCCTAAATTTGAGTCATTCACATGAGTAAAGAGAATTGAGCTATTCCTCATCTTTCCAAAGCCCGTTGATGTCATTCTTTTAGAGATCGAGAGAGGGAAGCCAAGTGAGGAAGGGAGAGATGGTGGACATTGTCGTTAAAATTACAATCTACAATCTACGATGGCTACATAGGTGCACGTGTTCATAGGCCCCTATGCATGTTGTAAATCAAAATAATATCATTAATTTATCTCTAAAAGAATAACATTAGGTGGGAGAGAGAGGATGAAAATTAAGTAGTATCCCATTAATTCACTTGAGCACCTATCATGCTCTATTGTAACCAATCCATACTACTCAAAATAATTATGATAGATTTGGATTATTTCCAAATGCTTGCAAGTCTTCTCTCCCATCAACGTGGTGTAATTCCAAGTGTGTGTACCCTCTTTCCCTACCTATACCATAATGGGTCATCTCTAAAATCTATTATTCATACTCTCTCCCTCCTTACCCAACTATAGGATAAATAATATTGGTTAAATAAAGTATGCTTTAGGGAGAAAGAATTGTATTCCACATCCAGGGGAAATAAACGAATCCTAGCAAGATGGCATCATGTAGAGCATGAGTTAGAACCAATACCTTTGGTATTCGCTTATTTATGGATAAAGATAGCCCTAATAATCTGATTGTAATACCTTTCAATCTATATGAATGAACAAGTATGATGAATAATTAAAGGCTAATTATGACTAACGTCCCAAACTGATGGAGGAGGCATCCTAGTTTCCAAGTCAACTATGATAACTCAATTCTATTGTTATTCCCCTCTAATTAATAGTTAAAGGAATGGTCGTATACCTAATCAAATAGTACCTATGAGTCAGTTGGATAACACGCATCGGTTTGATAGAGTTTGAGAATTGGCACAATGAGAATAAACTAATATTAATTATTAAGTGGTTATTAATTGATGATGTATTATTTAATGGAGGTATAAAGATACCTCCATTAAAGATTGCCTAACATCTCTTGATATATATTAGAGATAGGGAGGCTATTTAGTTATTCCCAAGGGACTATTATTTCCAAAGCCTTTGTAGTGGAAAGGAAGCCTCCTTTGCTCATTTTATAAATTATTTAATGAGTCTTTGTATACAATAGTTTACTATTTCCCTATATGTGCGGAAAATGATCCTCTAATATCTTCACCTATTATATTACTTGAAGGTAAGCGATATCCACTCCCTTCCCTCTTGATATGACTCGATAATCTCCAAATATTACTCTGCCTTCACGATCAATATTATAGTAATGAAAGGGTAACTTCGAAAATGATACTCCTCCTTGATTGACATCTACAATTGTAAATTTGACATCAATTAATAAACATCTCCTAGGATTAACTAGTATACAAGGGACTTATCAAAGTTATTCTCTCTTCTTCATGAAACAAATAACTATAGGTATTGAATTTTTAGGATATTGTATAATATTGATAATATTAAATCAAAGAAGCTATCTGAATATGTTAATCATATATTATGATTATTAACATATAATATAATACTATATTATAATATTTATTAATAAGATAACTTAAAGTGATTTCATTGAGGGCCTAACTATTTTATGACAATACCTTGATATAACCCTAACAAATAAGTGGAAAGTGGGAGAGATAGGAATATCTTCATAGTGGACAAATTTTATAAGTTTTATAGGGGGAGAGGGAGAGATAGAGATAGAGATGGAGGTAATTGATAACCTTTTACTAGTGGGCAAGTAAATAGAACCAAGTAGTATTAGTCTTGATATAGACCTTATGTATATGTTAATCCTTCCATTTACTTGGCCATGAGCGAGGATTTCCCATTGCTAGCCATATAAATAGTCCAAGGATATCTATTATCACTGAAAATTGATTAATGCTATAGGGTTACCCATAACATACCTCATTATTTTATAGAAATACATAACCCCTCTGTATGTTAAAGTATAGTCTTATATTTGAGTGATAATAGATATGATAATAGAAATAGGGCTTGTTTTAAATATGCTTATAATGCCCTCTTTCACGATGGAAGCGCTACCTCATCTCAAGAATAATGGCCATATATACCTTATTATGGTCATTTTAGTGAATAAACTTAGCTTCCAATGGTTACAAAGAGATCCTCCTAATCACTATGAAACAACTATAAGGTAACTTGACATATTTCATCAATATTCTATTAAAATCATAAGCCCCTATCCATACCATTCATGTCATATGTCTAACAAAGGAGTTTAAAATATCTATATTAAAGGATAACCCTAAGTTCGTTCTCACTCGTGAATATCTATTCTTATAATTATTCTAATTTTTCTAGAATAACATGTAGTGATGGGTCTCTCCCTAATCTTTAAGCGAAGTATTATAATATTTTGCTATAATTATGGACTTGATTTACCCTAAAGTACCCATTAGGGTCCTCCTATAGATGGATCACTTATAAATAGAGTGTTTGCTCTTGAGAAAAAGGGAATGGAGAGGGGGTTAATTCCAAATATATACGCTAACAAGGGACACTCCCAATAATGAGAGGAACAATATATTTTTCACCATGAGATAAGAGAATGACATTGTAGGAGGACCCTCATTGTCATTAGTGACAATGGTAATGATGAGAATAAAGAAAGTCAAGGCTATATTGATAGAAACTAAGGAGCCAAATGGGCTAGGAAGGTGGCGTCTCCGAGGGAGCTCCAAGATGGCAAGTTTGCAAGTCTAAAATTTGATCCATTACACATTAAAGATGGTCTAATAATGTGGGCTAGGGCTAAGAAGCTTAAAAAGCTCTCCATGGGCTGATTCAAGAGTGTTGGGCGAATGCATTTCCAAGGGCCCAAGGGAGCATTGTGGCACCATCTTAAGAGAAGAGGAGGATCCAAGACTTGTCAATCTGATCTAAGTTTAAAATTAGGTTCCTTAAATTATATTGGGCCTATTTTATTAGATCTAACTTAATTATAATTAGAACTAATTGATTAAGTCAGATTTGAACTCTATCTTTTAAACCCTATTATTTGCATATGTTTTTAAGACCATTAGATTTGTTTGTATTCTCCTTAGGTGGCAAGGAAAAGTAAAGTCCTTTTAGGGTTAGGAGTGGCGTTTTGCCTATTTAAAGGCAAGTTTAGCTCTATTTCAAACTTACAAAATAATTTAGAGATGATTTCTTTCCTTTGTTATTTTGAGAACTAAATCTAAATTATTAAGGATTACAACCATTGTGGCATCTCTCGAACCTATTATCCTTCATAGGGTGTGATGTTCTTCACTCCATTGCATCATACCTTTGGTTCTTGCCTCCTTATAAGCAACGGGTCGGGTTTCGCTTATTATAACTTGATTGGGAACGTTCTTGGGGTTGTCTAGTAACAAAGGTGTTTGGGTCTCTTGTCTTTGTACATGGGGTTCACATTAGTTGGTATCAAAGCCTAGGTTGTGCAAAGTCGGGTTGGTTATCCATAGTCCTTACGACTTTTATTTTGTGTCTATCTTGTTTTCTTTATTGCATCTTCCTTTTTATTCTGCCATATCTTTTCTTGTTTGAGTCTCATGTTCCTTTGCTTGATAAATTGAGTCTTATATATTAAAAAAAAGAGACACAAAAAAGGGAAAAAGTTTGATTTGTAGTTAACTTCATTTTTCAATATACATTCGATTTTTTCATTATCTTTTGTTCTATTTCATGTCTTTGTAGTTTCATTTCCAATTAAAAATAAAAAAATAAAAACAAGTCTGATTTGTTTTGTCTTATTGTGTCTCATTTATTATTGTCTTGTCTAAATTCAATTCAAGCCAATTCTAGTACCATTTTTAGTGTTTGAAACATAAAATTCTTATTTGAATTGGTTTGTCAATTCCTTGTTTCAAATCTGTCCAAAATTCGATCCTTGGAAAGTAAAGTTGTTAAGTCACTTACAATTGGTTAGTTCTTATGTGGTTTGAATTAGTTTGTAGAAGAACCAAAGGAGTGAGTTAGAGTGGTAAAAGGCTAGAGAGTGTGAACGTATTAAAGAAAAAACCTAAAAGAGAGCAAACACGACCATTGAGTGGCATCAATTTAAGTGAAACATGTGAGGAATTTTTATTACTTATGAATTTTGTGTAGGTTTTAAACATGTCAAAAGATAAAAATCCTAAGGGAGAGGGTGAAGTGATTGTTGATAATGATGTTTGTGGTATGTCATTGGTAATTATGCACGCTTTAAGCATGCAAGTGAAAAGTGAAGAGGAGGTATGGAGAGATAATATTTTTCGTACCCAATGTCATGTCGTCAATAATAAGGTCTATCGTTTGATAATAAACGGGGGTTATTGTGTGAATGTTGCTAGTCTTGAGTTAGTCAAAAAGTTGAGTTTGCCTATAATTGAACATCCTAAACCATATACATTGCAATGGGTAAATGAGTGTAGAGAAGTCAAGGTAAACAAACAAGTAATAGTGTCTTTTTCTATTGGGAGATATAAGAATGAGGTTTTGTGTGATGTTGTACCAATGAGAGTGGGTCATATTTTGCTAGGAAAACCTTGGCAAGTTGTTAGAAAAGTGACAAATGATGAGTTTAACAATAGATATTCATTTGAAATAAGGGGACGAAAAGTAACACTTGTTCCATTGTCACCTAAGCAAGTTTATGAGGACTAAATGAGCCCGAAATAAGAAATTGAGAGAAAAAAAGTTAAGAGCACTCGGACTTTCATTCGTAACGATGGCTATGTTGCTATTGATTTTGTGGGTGTTGAGAGCACTCAAATTTTCAATCATAATGATGAATATGCTGCTGTCAATAAAGAGTTAACCAAAGATGATTACAAGCCCAAGGCTGAGGCATCCAAATTCAATCTTAATTTAAGAGAACTAGTGCTTTAGGAGAAGTTAGAGAGTATTAAACGAGATGAGTCTATGTTCATTGAAGATTTGGCAAAACAAAAAGAAAAGCCAAAAGAGGACGAGTTTGATAATCTTATGGCTATGCAAAAGGAGGAAGACAATGAGAAGATTATGGATGTTCAAGAGAATATACCATATATTGAAGTTTTCCTTCTAGAGGAGACGAATGACAACAAAATGAAATCTAGTTTTTTTT